ATTTTTGTAAAAAAATTCTTTTTTATATTTTTAACTTTATAATGCTATAACTTCTCGAAAGATGTATGGATCAATATAATTCTTTTTTTTGTAGATGCATGATGTCTTTACCTATCATTTGGTATATTTTTTTTATAAATGGCACTTTTTACCTGCCTACAGAGGGGGATTCAAAATGACAACTTTTTCACAAAAAATTGACTTTTTCAACTTAAATTTTGTAAGTGTTCCGGAAAGTCTGACACTTTTATATATATCTTAAATTAAAGCTAATGTAATATACTTTATCATGGTAAAAAAAAATTTCGGACTTTATTTTATCTTCATGGTGAAAACAGACATTAAACTTAATAAAAAAAATACGATTTTTGTAAAAAAATTCTTTTTTATATTTTTAACTTTATAATGCTATAACTTCTCGAAAGATGTATGGATCAATATAATTCTTTTTTTTGTAGATGCATGATGTTTTTACCTATCATTTGGTATATTTTTTTTATAAATCTGACTTTTTACCTGCCTACAGAGGGGGATTCAAAATGACAACTTTTTCACAAAAAATTGACTTTTTTAACTTAAATTTTGAAGGTGTTCCGGAAAGTCTGACACTTATATATATATCTTAAATTAAAGCTAATGTAATATACTTTATTATGGTAAAAAAAAATTTCGGACTTTATTTTATCTTCATGGTGAAAACAGACATTAAACTTAATAAAAAAAATACGATTTTTGTAAAAAAATTCTTTTTTATATTTTTAACTTTATAATGCTATAACTTCTCGAAAGATGTATGGATCAATATAATTCTTTTTTTTGTAGATGCATGATGTCTTTACCTATCATTTGGTATATTTTTTTTATAAATCTGACTTTTTACCTGCCTACAGGGGGGGATTCAAAATGACAACTTTTTCACAAAAAATTGACTTTTTCAACTTAAATTTTGAAAGTGTTCCGGAAAGTCTGACACTTTTATATATATCTTAAATTAAAGCTAATGTAATATACTTTATCATGGAAAAAAAAAATTTCGGACTTTATTTTATCTTCAAGGTGAAAATGGCTACCAAATGCTATTATTGTGTGAAAATTCTCAATTTTATTTTTTACATTTTTAACATTATAATGCTATAACTTATTGAAAAGTGTATTGATCAATATAATTTTTTTATGGGAAATACTATTTTCTAATAATCTCTTTTTTATTCTACATACTTTGTCTTAATCAGGATATTAATAAGGAACTAGCAGTTTATGAAGCTTTTGGAATAATCCACCAATTTTTTAAAATTAAACACTATCTAAAGATTTGCATCGAAGCGTTTTTTTTTTATAGTGATTTTAATCACTGTCAGATATCATTATACTTGATCCATCTATACCACGTCACCAATGTGCCGCGACCCCCCTGTGCTGGGGTTTTTTGCAAGCTGTGTATAGTTAGTTATACACTTATTCATTAAATAGCTGAAAAATAAATAAATCAATAAAAAGCCATCGTCTATTTTAACGCATTATTTTTCAAAACATTCATTAATAATTCAATTTAATCACTAACACAATAACATAAATTAAATTCCTTTAAATATAAAAATATATTTTATAGTTTTTTACAATAGATTTCAATGATTTAAATTTTTTTTAAATTATGGTAAAACTAGAAAAAAAAACCCAGCACAGGGGGGTCGCGGCACAGTGGTGACGTGGCATAGTTGGATCAAGTATAATGATATCTGACAGTGATTAAAATCACTATCAAAAATAAACGCTTCGATGCAAATCTTTAGATAGTGTTTAATTTTAAAAAAATTGGTGTTTTATTCCAAAAGCTACTTGATCTGCTGGTTCCTTAATATCTCGATTATAAGAAAGTATGTCGAATGAAAAAGGGTTTATTAAAAAATATTATTTCTCATAAAAAAATTGTGTGGATCCATAAACTTTTCAATAAGTTATAGCATTATAAAGTTAAATATAATATAAATAATAAAATCGAGAATTTTCACACGAAAATAGCATTCGGTAGCCATTTTCGCCGTGAAGACAAGTCCAGAGGTCAAATTTTTTTTTTTCAAATTAAAGTATATTACATTAGCTTTAATTTAAGATATATATAAAAGTGTCAGACCTTCCGGAACATTTTCAAAAGTTAAGTTGAAAAAGTTCTACTTTCTATATGCATTTTTTATATTTGAAGCCCCCCCATATATAGGGAAATAGTCTGATTTAAAAAAAAAGTATATCCAATGAAAGATGTATATAAATACTACTTCTCATGAAAAAATTGTATTGATCCATACATTTTTTAAAAAGTTATAGCACTTTAAAGTAAAAAATGTAAATTATAAAATCGAAAATTTTCACACAAAAATAGCATTCGGTAGCCGTTTTCACCATGAAGACAAGTCCAGAGGTCAAATTTTTTTTTTTCAAATTAAAGTACATTACATTAGCTTTAATTTAAGATATATATAAAAGTGTCAGACCTTCCGGAACATTTTCAAAAATTAAGTTGAAAAAGTTAATTTTTTGTGAAAAAGTTTTCATTTTAAATCCCCCCCTGTGGCAGAAAAAGGGTCAAATTTAAAAAAATATACCAAATAATAGGTTAAGACATCAAGCATCTATAAAAAAAAAAATTATATTGATATGTTAATTTTTCAAAAAGTTACGGCAGTTTTTAGTAAAAAAAATTGAAAAAATTTCGAAAATTAGCGATTTTTAAATTTGTAATTTTTTTGGAGGTTTCCCCCATTTACGGGGAACGAGGGAATTTTTCAATTTTTAAGGGTAATGTCTTCGACTAGATACGATTTGTGATCTTTTGACGTATCGTTGAAAGAAATCCGTTCGGTGAGAGCTGAGAAAAAGTGGTAACAGACACAAAAAAAAAAAAAAAAAAAAAAAAACACATCATAGTAAAACCAATACCTTCTCAGCTTCGCATCGAAGCTAAAAACTAAAATAAATACATGGGATATTGAAAAATTAAATTACTTTTTTTTCAAGTCGAAAATACTTATTTTTAAACAACTCAAATTGTGCCTATTAAATTATACAAAGAGAAAAACCAATAATATATTTGAATCAACAATAGGATATTTCCTATAGGTTATTTATAAATAACAAAAAAAAAAAATGAACAAATTACTTTTTTTAATTAACGAAATTGAATTTAAATTCTATTGTGTTTGCTGGAATGTATTAAAATAATTTTTCTAATATTATAAAAAAATTAGAAAAGTTGCTTCTTTTGAGAAAATAAATCTTTAATGTCTTGGTATTTATAGAAGTTTATAATTTAAATTAAGCTAGAGATAAGTATAATTGTTGTTATCTTAATACAACAAGTAATATTTATTTATGTATTAAATTAATGTATTTGTATTTGTATTATTTTATTGTAAGTGTGTGTTAAACACAACGACCGCACTTAAATCTATAAAAAAAACGTTCAAAATATTTATAATTAATTAAACATTAATTATCTACCATGGACCCTTATTGTTAAGTTTGATGATATTAAAACAATGTTTAAATATAAAAATTAGCGTGCTTATCATACCTATACCGTCTAGTCTTTTCCATCTTCTCTTTCGATTGATGGACGGTGGTAGCCGCATCATCAAAAAGTCATGGGCTGACTTTTTATCAAAAATAATAGTTTAGAAACAATTTTCAATGGAAATAGTATGTAAGTATATAAAAGGTAACACATTTTTCTTTTTTGTATAAGGGATATTATATTTTTGTGCAAATTTTTATAACAAAAAAAAACAAATTTTTCTCAAAAAAATATATTAAAGTCATTATATTTGTATAAATGTGATACATATAGCCTAACGGCAGAATAAAACAGATCTGTCACTATTACAAATGAAACATAATTTGATATAAATAAATTTAAACACTTATTAATAAATTTAATAGTTTCCATAATTTATATTATAGAACAATTTTTAATGAGTTTAACTATATTATTATTATTATTGTGTAGGAGTTGTTAATGTATTATCTGTTGATTTTAATATCCAAATTGAATATAATTCTTCTTCTACACAGCCATCGGTAATGGTTTTTATCATCTCTGAAAATAATTAAAATTGTAAAATTTAAGCTGATATTTCCAAAGATACATATATTAGTTAGCCGGGTAAGTCGGTGAACATATGGTTTATAACATTGTTCAAACAATATAAACTTGTTTATATGAGATCATTNATAACATTGTTCAAACAATATAAACATGTTTATATGAGATCATTAAAAAAAAATGATAACTTAATGTTAAACAACAAATTATCTATAGAAAATTAGTAAAAAATTATTAAATTTTATCATGCAATTACAAAAAAAAAGTTCATCGAATAAAAAACATCGTAGAAATAATAATTGCTTAATTTTTTTTACAATCACATCATTAAACTAAACAAATGGCTTTTGATTAAAGAAATTTAACTTTTAGATTTTTTAACTATGAATAGATAAAAAAAATATTTTACTACATATTACTTTCGAATTTTTTAAATTTAACAATTTTTTCCCTTACAAAAATTTGTAATTATCAATAGTTTTCATGGAAATGAGTGTCTTCTCCCAAAGTGTCTCACCCTATATAATGATAATGATTCATATTTATTATAATCCTTAAACAAATTAATGATATTTTTAATGTGCACAATAAAAATTACCGTATGAAATTCTAATATGATTATCAAAAAAATAAAATAGTTTATTTGAGAATTTCAATTGTATTTTATCAAACAGTGTCTAAAATTAAATAAATATATTGTATAGAGTAACATCACCAATTAATGAACATTACAAGTGAACAAATACCTCCAATATTTTACCTAAACTTTTTCTAAAGTGGTTGGAACAAATTTCAGGTAGTAATTTTTATAGCAAAAAATATCTAAATTAAGTTCTGACAAGTTTTCATAATTTTTGATACAATAACATTAACTATTCATTCGCTAGAAAATTCCAACATAAAATAATAAATTAAAAATTTTATCTTGATTAATTATAAATAATTTTACATTTAATTTTAGATAATTTTTCAGAGAACAAACATTTATTAAATAAATGAATGTAGAATCAAAATGAAAAGTAATTAAGATCTTTATCCAATGAAAAACTCGTAATTGATCATTCACTGATGAAGTCACTCTACTTATTGTACTTAAAAAAAAATAATCTAACGGTATAGAAAAAAGGCGAATTTTGACCCTTGTAATTGTTGCATAATGTAGAAATAATTTTATACTTTTAAAGAAGTTATGGTGAATACCTTTGTAACTGATGTTATCATTCTCAACTTTACATTTTTTGATTATTTTATCTAAGGCCTCCTCAGTTAATTTACCACGAAACAAATTGCTCTTTGAAAACTCGTCTTTTGCATATTGTAATTTGACGATGCCATCATTATTATTATCATTATTAATATTATCATTATTATTATCATTATTAATATCATTATTATTATTATCATTATTATTAATATTATTATTATTATCATTATTATTATTATCATTATTATTATCATTATTATTATTATCATTCTTATTATCATTATTATTTGTAATTTTTCGTGAAAGATTTTCTTTAAGAATATCTTCATCTTTTTTCAATAACATATACTGATCATTAAAAAGTCCATTTACCGATAATTCGTCATCATCTAAAGAAATACCAAAAAATAATTATAGAGCATAAAAACATTTTCTTTTATGTAATTTCGCATCTCAGCAAATCTAAAAATAAATATACTAAAAAATCAAAACTTGATTTTTTAATCATCTTGTTGAGAGCGAACTAATTTCTGAATTATTTTTCTAATTTTAATCTAATTCACGGAGTAACACAATTTTTTTTTAAAAATAACATAATCATTAATAAAATATATTATATTATAACTAGACGACTTATTTAGAAATTGATACAGTTAAACATTTTTCTGCTTAATATTCATCGAATATCTGAAAATAATTCTAAGATTTTTCTTAATCTACAAATGACTTCCTAAAAACCATCCTATAAAAAAATTTTCACACACTTTAATTGATATTATCATGTTGCATCAAAATAAAGACAACTTTCTTTGTATATTTAATAATATACATGTATTAAATATACAAGAACGTTATAATTATAATCATTTATAATGATTATAACATTCCAGTATTATTAGCATGAATTGATATTATTTATTACGTGTTATTTATAATTTGAAACGTTTTCAAAAATTATCACTTTAATACCCTCTGTAAACAGGTAAAGGGTTGGATAATCAAAAATATTTACCAAAAAAAAGGAAACACCTATTTATAAAAAAAAAATGTTTTGATTGAATTTTGGAAATTTATTATATTTTATTATTTTGCTCAAAGTATAATTGATATATGAAAAATTTTATTAATACCTCTTTTATAATAATAATTTCTATATATTTTAATGTTAAGTGTAATACTTATCTAGTTAAACTCAAATAAGAAAAAATTAAACTCAATTGTCATATTTCAACTCCAATANAGTTAAACTCAAATAAGAAAAAATTAAACTCAATTGTCATATTTCAACTCCGCATCAAAATGAGGTTGAGTAAACCATATTTATTATACAAAAACAAAAAAAAATTACAGCGAGATGTTAACTGTATCATATTTTATAATAATAATTGCCAATTAGATCTGTTGTACCTTGTACAGATGCAAAATGAAAATAATTAAATCTTAATTACTTTCATAGAAATTCTCAATTTGGACGTAATTAAAAAGATGAGAATCCATATGTTCCGTTTCTATAACATGTTTCATTGCGCCAAATGTCAATGCTCCAGTAAAATTTCTAAATTTACTTCTTGCTATATCTACAATATAATTTGCTATGGGATATTTTTCCTAAAAAAATCAATGGTATGTAATTTATTGGTCTATGAGAATTATTAAAATAAATAATAAATACAAAAATTTATAAAATTAAAAATGAATATAAAACATTTATGTACCTATATAGTTCAATGATCTACTTTTAAATATAATGATATAGGGGTTTCAACATTAATTTTTTAAATGGTAACGTACATAACTAATTAGCTTTAAAAAAAACGGTAGCATAGTGATGTCGCAGCACATTATGGATGTAGCATAGTTAGAACATGTATAAATGATAATTGACAGTGAAAAATCACTATCATAAGAACTGGTTTAATGCAAATCTGTATAAGTATAATATATGTGTATATAATTATTATAAAAATTAAATTTAGTATAAATGTAATAATACATCGGACTACAAGGATTTGTCATCAGACAGGAAAATATTTTTTCACGCTGATTTCAAATTTGCAATTTGATTTAATCTATCACCTCTAATTTTTGATATTATTACCAGTTAATTAAAAACGAGTATTAACATACAAGAAAATAATTTAGGTTAAAATAAAATTTGACAACACGTCAACTGACGAAATCATAAATGAAACTAGTGAAAATATTTCTGAATATTAGTATATTATAGAATATTTAAAGATAAAATTATAAAAAATATAGATTTGAATATTTCAATTTTAGAATCTAATTAAACACCAAGAGTTACATTGAAATGATTATTATGATTTTTATTGAAATCATTTATTTCGATGTACAAAAAAAAATAGTAAAAAATTATTTTAACGAAATTTTAAGCTTTTCTAATAAATTTACTGTTAATAGTAATTATATAAGTTCCTGAAAACGTATCAATCTCTACAATACGAATTTTTAAATTCTCATAAATAATTCTTTTTAATGATATCAATTTCATACTTGCAAGTTGAACTAAAAAAAAGTTATGAAATTTCATAAAAGTAAACTTAAAAGGACCACAAAAATAGCTTTAGTTTTGAAAAATATATTATATGGTCTATGATTAGTAAAAAATGTTTCATTTTAGTGATATGATTTTTCTGCGTAATTTAGTATGAAATTGAATTCTATACCACCATTATTTGAGAAGTTATTTAATTTAAAAAATACTTATTTTAAATCGTTTAATTTTATTAAAAACAATTGTGAATTTGTTTGCTTAGACTAATTTTTCATCGCCAAACATTTTTTTGTGATTTTGACACTTCTTGCACATGAATATAGCTATTTTAATTAACAAAAAAGGGATGTAAAAGGGACCAAAACAGGTTAAAATAAGGCTCATTCTTCATAGATCCATGAATGATCTCAGTTCTATCAATTTGACCCAGTCCATTAATCTCAATTGTTTAATTCATGTGTAAGAAAAGAACAGACACGTTTAGATTTATTTAAAGTAAACGAGACGACTTGAGTCATTCTCTAGACATCCTCCGGAGACATCAAAGTAGATACTAGTTAATTAAATTAATAAGGTTTAAAAATTTACTTCTTTAAAGTTCATAGTTAACGTAGGAATAAAAAAAGAATGAGTGATCACTAAAAAAATCACTGTGTCTTTCTATTACCTATTCGTTATTCTTATAAACCCTCGAACTCAAACCCGAAAACTTTTATTATTAAAAACAAATAGTAACTCCTCTTCCACTATTATAATCTTACTTATTTCTTTTATTTTTGAGTTACCATAGAAATTTATAAATAATAAAGTAAAATTATTTAACTGGGTAATTGAAATATCATATCAAACCTATTTCGAAGTGTTAAATATATATTTAAAACTTCATTTTATACTTAAAAAAAATTAAGATTAAAGTGAGAAAAGAGTCATTGTGGCGGGCGGGTTCGAACCTCGTACCACAAACGTGTTAGACTGACGCGGTTATTGTACATCGCGCATTTGTAGGCAGATAAAACCCTTTAGCAGGCGCGTACCTATTTTTAACGTTCATAGTCGCGTGGGGGTCTATCAGACCCCATTTCTAAAAAACTATAAGATATGTATAAAAAGTTCATTTTTTTTCAATTCAAAGACATTATTTGTTATCATATGATATATAAATATGGAGGAATATTCAAAAATTCAAATTAAAAAATTAATAAATTACAAAATTATGCGCATTACTAAAAATTATATTACAAAAAAAAACTTCAAAATTTCATTAAAAAATTTTTGTTTGTAAAAAAATTATTTTACCTGCAAAATCTTATTTTTAAGACTGTAAACAAGAGCTTTTACTATTACAAAATGTATTTTAATTAATTTTTCTTGTATTTCTTTGAGCTCAAACATGACTTATATTTTTATGTGTATTTACATTTATATAATAATTTTTCTAAATTGAATTTTTTTATTATTAATATTACAATACATTTAATTATTATGATACGAGTAGGGTCAGGAGGGGTAATTGAGAATAGTGATAATTGTAAATGAGGCACCGATAATCAATGTGTCCACATTGCGACGCGATGTATTTATTACATGTTTAGTTCGTATTTGTTCCGTATCGTCGAGTAGTGGAAATTCCAATTAGATTATTTATTTTTAAAACTTAATTGCACAGTCTGTGGCAGATTCACATAATTCCAATTCCACAATATTATATCGATTATAACATTGCATTTACGATAAAACGATATTTGGAAAAAATACAAGTCCAGAAAAAAATTTTAACGTTACAAGTCGTGTGGGGATAAATATGATCAATTTCAATCTTAATGGATATTTTAAGTCATACATTTTTTTTTTGAAGGTATTTATTTATGTAAATCAATTCAATATTACAATAAAAACCATCTTCTAAATTTATATCTATGTACACCTTTTATGCAATATAATACATACGTTTTTATTTATGTGGGGATATGCTAGACCCCCACGCGACTGTTAAAGGGTTAAGCTAGTTCAAAATTTCAAAGTCGTTTTTCTTAACTTAAAAAAAGCAAACAAATTAAAATAAGTATAACGTTTTTTAAAAATAATAATGCTGACCAAATATCATTTTAGCTTTGTTATTCCAACTGTGTTTCATTCCCCCTATGCTGGTTATTTTTTTTATAAAAAAAATTTCATAAAATTAAATAAAAATTGGAAATTTTTTTTTTGTTTTCCAGTGACTTAAAATTACTATTAGCTTTTTCAAAGACATTGTATCAATTTGATATAGTGAATACTATGAACATTCAATGTTTTATAGATACACTATCTTTGAAAATCTAACAAAAAACTGATCTATAAATGGGTTATGAATACAACTAATTTTTTTTTCCTTTTCAATTAAAAAAAATAATAAAATCAAACATATGTCCTTATAATTTAAATTTTGAAAAAGTGAAATTTCAGTATTATTAAAAATATTTGCCATTTTTAATGGTACAAAATATACAAGTCATTTTCATAGTACAGATCTGTTTAAAACATGTTTTATAAGTAAATTATCAATAGTTATCATGGTATAAAAGAAGGCACCCGAGCCAATAAATAATAATAAATACGTATAATATAATAATAGTGATTATAATTACTCTTTCAAGGGCATTGTCTTTGTAATAACTACTGAAGACGACGCTGGACGCAATTTGTACACACGTCAAACATAATATTACACAAAAAAAAACATAGAAACTCATTTTAATGTTGATTATAGTTGCAACAGTAATAGAAGTCCTGTACTGAAAATATAATTTCAATAGTAACAACTAAAAGTGTATTATAATTTTTATTATAAAATTAATTTCATTTATATAGTCAATTCAGTCTATTTTGAATAATCTAAAATATGGTAAAACAAAAAATATATTTAGTATGTAAACATTTCAAATAACATTTGTATTAATCAAATTTATTTCACATGTTTTCCAAAAAAAGTGCGTCAATAAAATTTATTCACATATTGTGGCAGGTTAATTTTATTTATTCATTATTAAATAAAATAAAGTATAATATAAAAATATCAATTGTTATTAATAGATAACAGAAAATAATTTAACAAAACGTACAATTTATCATTAAAATGTTTTTCAATTTTTATTAGCTTTGATGCGAAGCTGAGAAGGTATTAGTTTTACTATGATGTGTTTTTTTTTTTTTGTATGTGACTGTTAACACTTTTTCTCAGCTCTCACCGAATAGATTTCTTTCAACGATACATCAAAAGATCACAAAAAAACATTACCCTCAAATATTAAAAAAATTTCCCTCGTTCCCCGTAAATGGGGGAACCTCCAAAAAAATTACAAATTTAATAATCGCTAATTTTCGACATTTTTAAAATTTTTTTTGCTTAAAACTACCATAACTTTTTTAAAAATGACCAAATCAATATAAATTTTTTTAAAGATGCTTGATGTCTTTACCTATCATTTGATATATTTTTTTTTACAAATCTGACCCTTTACACCTGCTCACAGGGAGGATTTAAAATGACAACTTTTTCACAAAAAATTAACTTTTTCAACTTAACTTTTGAAAGTGTTCCGGAAGGTCTGACAATTATATATATATATATATATATTAAATTAAAGCTAATGTAATGTACTTTATTATGAAAAAAANTATATATATATATATATTGATATTTATTATATTGGATAAAAATAAAGAAAATTTTCATCTGTATATTTTTACGAAAAAATCATTATTTGTGAAATAATTTAGAATTTATTTAAATGTCTATAAAGTACATTAAATTATACAGAGTAATTACTTAACTATGCCTAGTAACTATGTTTAAAAATATTAGAGCTACCATTATTATTATTTATTTTATTATATATTATTCAATCATAATTATTTAAATTATTTTAATCATATTTTTTTTTAATAATAATAGATTTTTGTTGATCAATTTTACATGAAAATTTAATTTACATCTGTCATCCCTATATCAAAACTTTTATCAGCTCTTAATTTTCAAACGGGAAATCCAATTTTTTATTTTATCAACAGATTTATTCAATTGGAAAATTTTTTTTATTTTTATTTGATTTTTATTTATTTGATTAATATTTGATTTTCAATGAGTTACATCTGTTTAAACTTTAAGGTGCTATCAGAAAAAATGTACTTATTTTAAAATGCCGTACTTTAAAGTTTCTTATATAGATAAGCGTTACTGGTTTATAAAAATGCAATTAAATATAAATGTCACTTAGGTGAAAAAAACTATTAGGATTGAGCTTAGGACTAGGTATAAATATAAATTAAATAAATGTATGTATATATGTTTAATTATGATCTAACTAAGAAAATAACTGATTGATGATAATTTATTGATTAGTCCTTTGGGAGTTATGAGCATTTTAAAATATATACTGGTGATAAAACGTAAATACTGCTATTCATATTTTTATAATCTATAAAATAAAATCTAATTAAATGGCCTATTACAACTTTTAATCCATTATTTTAAAAGTTATTACCATTTTAAAATATAGACTGGAGCTGAATGCAGCTACTTTAATCATTAGACATTTTTCGATCTCACCTAACCTGCTGCCTAGGTATAAATATGTTAATAACTTTTGAAATATTGGTCTAAAAGTTGTTATCAACCGGTTATTTTCTTAATTACTTAATTATGTGTGTTGTCATTTGAAAAATTAAAGTTGACACACTTATAAGGCAGAAGGGACGAACTTAAAAATACTTCATAGTTTATAAATTGTGAAAAAACATGGAACTAAAAAAAAACAAAAAATAAAATTATCTATATTATTTATATTTTTCAATTAATTTAATGTTTCGTGATTAATGAATCCACCTGTATCAGTGACGCAACTACTTAAGGTGCTTAGGTGTACCTTCCCTAAATTTTAATATCTATAGTTTCAACTAGAGTGCTAGATAATATAATTATCTATGCTCTCTAGTTTGAACGAAGTAATTTTATTTGTAAAAATTTATTATAGTTTTTTCTTATCTTGCATTATGTTTACATTGTACTATTATTGTAGCAAACAGTATCGTTCTTTTATGAAAGGACCTAAATAATAAGATAAAGGCAATTTGATTTGATAGCAGTCAAATTTCGTCCAAACTTTTCCCGTTTTTTATATAATTCAAATATTTTATAAAAGAGGACATTTATGAATTTATTTATTTATTATTCGATGTCGAAAACTACAAGAATCAATTTTTTCATATGACGTTTTTAGTTTCTTGTTCTATCTATTATGTAAAATTAAATTTTGGTATGTTTGTTTGTTTCATTGCGTTTCTATTAAATACATCCGATAACGATGATACTTTAGTGGGGTTATGTATGCACGTTTGCTAAGGTTTCTGAATTACTATATTAATGAACTTTACATAAATTTATAAAAGGGTGAATGAGTGAAATATAAATATATATTTTACATTTCTATACAAAATGTTCACTAAATTGACTACTCTCTTATTATTTAGGCTCTCTAATTTTGAGTATACTTGGTCATCTCATTATTAAGCTACTGATCAGAGACAAACGTAGTTCGATTGTATAGCCATTTATAAACCGCTATCATTAATACAGCCATTATGCATTATATCATTATATAGCCATCTATACTCATTGTGTTGAACTTGGTAGTGTGAGGAGTAAGCCCTCAGTGTTTTGAGAGCCGTTACACAAATTTAGCACCACTTAAATTTTTTGTTCTAGCTGCGCCATTGTCCTGAATGATTATAAAGTTTTATGTAAAAGAAGAAAATTGTTTAAAAGTAACAAAATAGAAGAATAATTTATGACAAAATACATTTAAAACATTATAACGCATGATTCATTGTTATTTATTTATTGAAAATAATGCGCAATAAATTAATCAGATATATTTTTCAAATTGAAATTTATTTTAAAATCAATAAAACGTAAAATATAATAAGTTTGAATCTAGTAAATTATCAAAATAAAATATTAATTTCGCTAAAAATTAGAAAAAACATTTATAACAAATAAAAATACTTACTAAATTTTAACATGAAAATAAATGTACATATTGAATAAAAATGCAAATCAAAGAAATTTAATAATTGTTTAAATCGTTAAAATTATTTTAACGTAAAAATCTTAATATCTCTGCTATGTTAAAATGTTTAACTAAACTTATTAACTCGTTTACGCCTCAGCTATATGTCTTGTACATAAAATATATATTTCCGGTTCATGTCATATCTTATAATATTACATTGGGTGTAGTCAATTTTATATTTTTCAGAAGAATAAAATAAAATATTAAGAATATAATATAAGAATGAAAAATTCAAAAATAAAAAATTATTAACATTTTTAATTATATTTTAACAAATTAGTATTTCTATAATAACAGAATTTGTCAATAATTTATTTAAGGAAAAAATGTAATTGAAAAAAATAGTCTGTAAATAATATTTATAGATGTCACAAACATATTATTATGTTGATCCAATCAACCGTTTGTTTCAGAGACGTTTTTAGATGAAATTTCTATTGATATACTACTGTCTTATCTTTAACGAATCACCTGAATACATTTTTCAATTGATATCATTTAAATAAGTTTTTACTTCATAAAGTCATCGTGGCATTAGTGGCATCGGGTTGGTATTTTACTCAACCCAACCATCGGGTAAAATACCAACCAAACCCAACTAGTGTCCACCAATATAATTCAGAAGAGGGACATAGTTTTTTCCTCCTCATTAATGTTAGCGATAAAAAAACAATTTTGCTCGTTTATCTTATGAATTTAATATGTAATTCACTAATTTCTAGTATAGCAATACAAATTTTAAAAATTTAACTTTTTTAGCATTAAAAATAACAATATATTCCTAAAAATTATAAAAACTGATACATGATATTTCGCTCACTAAACTTGAAATATTTTTTATATCAAATTATTAGGTAAATAGTAAGAGAGACTGGGACACATACAAATGTGCCTCAGACTCCAACTTTGGTAAACGACTCGTCTTTTTTGATTTGCATGTCAATGAATCAACTAAGAATTTGTTCATTTAATAAAAATCATATTTTGAATATAATCAAACTTGATATATCGTGTTGTTTGTTTACACTAAATTTGAAACAACTCTTAATTTTTGCATTAAGTCAAAAAATTTGATTTTAGTAGCAAAAAACAATATTTTTTGGTAAAAATATTTATTTATTATTTTACTCATAAATTAAAAATGTAAACAAAAACCAGTAGTTAAAAATTTCTAGTATTTCTTATAAAAATTGATTTTAAAGAAATACGTTCTCTAAAACTTTCAAAATCAATCATAACATTATTAAAGAAGTGCTCTTTAAACATTTATTAATATTACTATAAATATACATCATAAAAAACCCAGCACAGGGGGGTCGCGGCACAGTGGTGACGTGGCATAGTTGGATCAAGTATAATGATATCTGACAGTGATTATAATCACTATCAAAAATAAACGCTTGGATGCAAATCTTTAAATAGTGTTTAATTTAAAAAAATTGGTGGATTATTCCAAAAGCTACATGATCTGCTAGTTCCTTATTAATATCCTGATTAAGATAAAGTATGTCGAATGAAAAAGGGATTATTAAAAAATATTATTTCTCATAAAAAAATTATGTTGATCCATACACTTTTAAATAAGTTATAGCATTATAATGTTAAAAATGTAAAAAATAAAATCGAGAATTTTCACACAAAAATAGCATTCGGTAGTCATATTCACCATGAAGAAAAGTCCAGAGGTCAATTTTTTTTTTTCATAATAAAGTACATTACATTAGCTTTAATTTAAGATGTATATAAAAGTGTCAGACCTTCTGGAACATTTTCAAAAGTTAAGTTGAAAAAGTTAATTTTTTGTAAAAAAGTTTTCATTTTAAATCCCCCCTTGTGGGGGCAGATAAAGGGTTAGATTTACAAAAAATATATACCAAATGATAAAGACATCAAGCATCTATAAAAAAAAAAAATTTTATTGATATGTTCATTTTTGAAAANAAAAAAAAAATTATATTGATATGTTCATTTTTGAAAAATTTCCGGCAGTTTATAGTAAAAAAAATTGAAAAAATTTCGAAAATTAGCGATTTTTAAATTTGTAATTTTTTTGGAGGTTTCCCCCATTAACGGGGAAAGAGTTAAATTTTTTCAATTTTTGAGGGTAATGTCTTTGACTAGATACAATTTGTGATCTGTTGACGTATCGTTGAAAGAAATCCGTTCAGTGAGAGCTGAAAAAAAGTGGTAACAGACACAAAAAAAAAAAATAAATAAATAAACACATATTAGTAAAACCAATACCTTCTCAGGTTCGCATCGAAGCTAAAAATGGTATATTTAATAACAAAAAAATATCAAGTTAGTATTTAGGCAGGTTTTTGAAGTATTAAATTCAAAACGAATATAATAAGTAAACTATCATTTGGTGTATATCTAAATAGTACTGCTAGATTTTGCACTTATGAACCGTTGATAAAATATACTACCGGAATAATAAATAAATTAAAGTATAAACTAAATATACTGGTAAATTGAAAGAATATCTTCAAAAATTAAAATTTATTATTACAATTAATTACTATGACATTTTAGAAGCCAAATTAAATACAGTGTAGAAAGTACTGAAGATATTTTTTTTATCTATTTTCTGAAATATTTGCCAATTCATTTCTCAAAGCTATCAACATACAATTTTACCTAACTACTCTATGTAAAATATGAATGATAAAGAAGACGTTATGAATATTATGTCAATTTTGGATGTTATATATTGTTAATATTAGAGCAAATGGAACAGCTTAGTTTTTTTAGTTGAGTAAAAAATAAATTAGCTGTTTAACATATTTATTTTAATTATATTAAATTTTTCATTACTATATTTGAGTTTTTAACTAATAATAATTAATAAAATTCTACTCTGTAATAAATTTTTCAACACTTTCTTTTAAATTATAATTATTCTGCAATTTAAAATTTACATTTAGAATTGTTCAATCATCAAGCAGTTTATTTCAATAAATAATAATATAGTGGGAGTCTGGGGAATTCCGGACACCTAGGCGGTATTTGTTATAATTTAAAGGCTTTTTTTCTTAATATTTTGTAATAATTTAAAATGATGCATTGACATACACAACTTGAAAATTATTCGGATAATAATGTTTATTAAAAATTTATTTTGGACAAATAATAATGATCCACTTGGTTGATTGTCGCGTGATAACAAAAATTCTCAAAAAAACATTTCAGTCAAAACTAACTCCATGGCTTCTTGAATTTTCTGTATTCCCATGGTTTCTCAATTTTTTTACATTTCTACGGTTTCATAATGTTTTATTTGTTGTTCAAAGACTAAAAATATTAACCCTTCAAAAAAAAATGTCAACTATATCTCTAGCTTCATCGTACTTGATCGTTTATCTGAAGTTAAATAGTTATACTTGAAAGTAACCGATTTTTACTTGTTAATTATTTTGGACCATTTTACAATAATGTAAAATATAAAACAAGTTAAAAAGAATATTTTCAAAAACATTCTAGAAAAATATTATTTTGGTAATTTTACATCACTAATTATGGCCGATATTACCCCTTGACATTGATTTGTATTATTTCTTTAGTATACTCAATTTACTCCATTTCAGTAAAATAATTTATCATTATTTTTAAAACAATTCATTTCAAAGTTTAGAACTATTTATAGTTATTTGCACATTTGTAAAAAAGGTGAAAATGATAGCAGCCGAAAAAAAATATACCAATATTTTGCTCTCATGGAAAGTTGGAAACGGTGAGATAAAAGGTGTTGCATCTCAAGCAACGATATAACTATTATTAGGTTTTTATATTACTAAATAATTTGTTATATAATTTTGTATTGTATCATTGATTAAGTTAAGAATGGATTATATTACTAAATAATTTGTTATATAATTTTGTATTGTATCATTGATTAAGTTAAGAATGGATTATTTAAATCATAAATTGATGATATAAAAAAACTATATTTCAAGTTTGCAATTTTAAGCAGGACTAGGAACCGAAATGATTTGAGTTTTTTTGAAATTTTTTACCAATATATCGAATTTTTTTAAGAATTTGTAAGAGTAATAATAGAAATCGCAAGTATTGTAAAAGCGCATTTAAAACCTTAACAAAACCTCAAATTTAAAATGATGTCATCATTTTTTCAAAATAACTAAATGTCAAAAAAAAAAAACATTTATCAAATATGTTTACAATTATATTTTAGTAATATTTAATTTATATCTTTTGTCAATGTTTTGCAGCACATTGTGACAATTTTTTAGTAATGTTTAGAAATTATGATGACAAATGGTTTTTAATATTTTTTAACATTAACATTAGGTCCAAAAATAATGTTTCAATAATAATATCCTATTATAATTTAGTGTGTTTCATATACATTGTTCTGGCCGATATTAATGTATTTTTTTTTGTTGTTTGTTATCTTTGTGATTGCGCTGCTTGGCCCTATCGCCGTTAGCAGTAGTTAGTTCACTGCAATCCGTCGTTATGGTCAGTGCGATACTTAGTGTTTTATGTTTTATAGTATAGCGTTGTTATCTTAAAATATAATTATAATTAATAAACAAATACTATTATTAATAAAAAAAAACGTAAATTATACAGTCCATTCAAACCAAGAACATGGTCCAATCGGCCCGGATCGTACTTAGTAAAATATAATCGTTTACGTATAGTGTATAGTGTTAAATTATTTAAGTGCTAAATTTAACTGGAGTTAAAAAAAAAATTTCCCGTCCGAAGAGAGGCGTATAACAAACGCAATGGCTGATAACATTGTTTCGCTAAAGGCAGCGCGTGGAGCACTTAAAGGTCAGCTCACAAGAACGTTAAATATACTCAAAACAACACCGGAGAGTTTAGACGCTAATCAGCTGTCGGTGAGAGTAGAGAGAGCTGAAGGAGTATTGTGTGAATTTAACAAGATTCAATTAGAGATAGAAATTGCACTCCCAGAAGAGGATAACGAAAAATATCGTTCTGATTTCGAAGATCTGTATTATGAGACGATAGCTGAGTGCAGAAATATTATTAATAAGCTAAATAAAAATGTAACTACGGATAATATGGAGATTAGAGTTTCTGATATCAATCTAAATAGTTCTAGTCCGAGTAACTTATCGGGTGTTTCAAACGGCAACAACAATGGAATTTATTCGTTTGCAAAACTAGCTCCGATAAATTTACCACAATTTTCGGGCGAGTACTCAGAATGGGCAGCGTTCCATGACATGTACATAGCGCTTATACATTCAAATTCAGCTCTTTCAAAAGTACAAAAATTCTTTTATTTAAAATCGTCATTAAACGGTATAGCAGCTAATGTGGTGAAATCAGTCGAATTAACTGAGGTCAATTACGACTATGCGTGGTCAGCCTTAATAAATAGATATAACAATAAAAAAATGCTCGTTCAAGCCCATACGAAGGCGCTGTATGACATTCAACCAATAACGAAAGAATCTTCGTCTAAATTAAGATGTTTAATAGATAAAATTATTAATAACATGAATGCTTTAGAGACCCTCGGGCAAGACCCTAAAGCTTGGGGTTCTTTACTCGTGCATTTGATAACGTCTAAGTTAGATCAAAAAACTTTAAAGGAGTGGGAAACTGAGGCGCCGAAAACAGTGGTACCCTCCGTATCAACATTAATGGATTTCTTGGAAACTAGATTTAAAATACTTGAGGCTGTAGAAAGTTCGTGCAGTTCAAATGACAAGTCTGAGAAAAGATCCTACGAAAATTATGGAAAAGGAAAGGCGCAAGAAAAAAAATGGCAAAATAAAACAGTTATGCACGTAGCGACAACGAAATTTAAATGTTACGTGTGTAATGAAGGTCATCCGATATACAGATGTACTAAATTTTTGTCGTTATCGGCGAACGAACGAAAAGAGCAAACAATCAAATTAAATTTATGTGAAAACTGTTTAACACGGCATACGAGTCCGTGTAAAGCGAAAGGTTGCCGTATATGCAATGATAAACACAATACATTACTACACCAAGATAAGGAAACAGTTCATAATTCTGCTACTGCATTGCACTCGTCAGGTCGTTACGAAAATCAAGTATTATTATCTACAGCTATTGTAAAGATAAAAGATAGAGCAAACAAAACATGGTACGTGCGAGCGTTATTAGACTCAGGGTCGCAAAGTAATTTTATTACAACTGATTTAGCGAACGGTTTGGGTCTATCTAAGCGCAAAGTCAAGGTAACCATAGAGGGTGTAAATAAATCAATCACACAGTCTCAATATTCAATAGTAGCCACTATAGAGGCTAACTGCACCAGTTACAATAAAACAATTGAGTTATTAACTTTGCCAAAAATAACCACTTTACTTCCAAGTGAAAACATTAATGTGATCCAGGAAGAATTGCCAGACAATATTAAACTTGCTGATCCATCATATGCTGTGCCTGGCAAAATAGATATTTTAATTGGAGCTGCATGTTTCTATGAAATATTGTTACCCGGTAAATACACCACTAATAATAGCAGTATTATTTATCAAGAAACTGAACTTGGGTGGATAGTAGCGGGATCATTATGCAAATTATCTACACCAATTACAAATTCATTTTTTGCTCAGTCGTTATCAATCGAGGATAAAATAGACAAGCAATTAACCAAATTTTGGGAAATCGAAGAAATAGGTGATAAAAGATCGTTAAGCGAAGAAGAAAAATTATGTGTTGATCATTTTAATCGGACAGTAAGAAGAAATGAAGCGGACGGTCGTTTCATAATTGAATTGCCTTTCCGAGAAAAAAGCATTCAGCTAGGTTGCTCCCGAGGAACGGCTTTTCGTCGTTTTTTGTCGACTGAAAAACGTCTAACTAACAATGCAGACTTAAAAAAGAGGTACGTGGAATTTATGAATGAATATGAGCAGTTAAATCATATGTCCATAATTAGTTCTGATCAGGATAAAATTGAAGAAAAGAATTCCTATTTTATGCCTCACCATGCTATATTGCGAGACGATAAATGCACAACAAAAACACGTATCGTGTTTGATGCATCCTGCATAACCACTAATGGTAAAAGCTTAAATGATATTTTGTTAAAAGGACCGGTGATACAGGACGATTTGATGTGCATTTTGGCGCGGTTTCGAACTTATAAGTACGCGTTTTCGTCGGACATTACAAAAATGTATCGACAAATAATCGTAGCCGAACAGGATCGTAAATGGCAAAAAATACTATGGCGATCTAAACCATCTGAAAAAATAGAGGAGTATCATCTCAACACATTAACGTATGGTACATCACATGCGTCTTACGTTGCAACAGCTTGTTTAGAAAAATTGGCCAACGAAAATGAAAATAAATACCCATTAGCAAGCCTAGCAATTAAAGAAGACTTTTACATGGACGACTACCTTGGTGGCGGTAATTCAATAGCTGAAGCTCTTATGTTGCGAAATGATATAATAAAAATAATGAATAGCGCTGGTTTTCAACTAAGAAAATGGATGTCAAATGAGCCGCTATTGCTATCAAATATTCCTAACGCCGATAATGACCCACTTATAGTTCTAAATCTAGACGGCAGTACTACAAAAACATTGGGCCTATGCTGGAACCCGGTAAATGATGTTTATCTATATAAAGTAAACATTGAACGCAACGATAATGAAGAGGCTAGTACAAAAAGAAACGTGTTGTCAACTATAGCCACTATCTTTGATCCACTCGGTTTAATAGGACCAGTTATTATTGCTGCTAAAATAATAATGCAAGAATTATGGAAACTCAATGTTAAGTGGGACGAAGTGTTGCCATCAGCGATAAAGGCGGAGTGGGAATTGTACAGAGCCAGTTTATCAAGTATTGAACACATGACAATACCTAGACTTGTAGTTGATTGTGATAATGTCGAGGCGATTCAAATTCATGGTTTTTCAGACGCTTCAGTTCGTGCTTACGGTGCGTGTTTGTATTTACGTGTTTATGACCGCTCCGGTTCGTGTGCGACGCGTTTAGTGACGGCTAAATCGCGCGTGGCTCCGCTAAAAGTTTTGTCTTTAGCACGTTTAGAATTATGCGCCGCCGTTTTATTAGTTCGTCTATTCAAAAAAATTGTTCCTCGTTTACGATTAAGTATAAATAAAAAATATTTTTGGACGGACTCGACCATAGTTTTATCATGGATAAATGCACCGTCTTCCAGATGGAAAACTTTCGTTGCTAACCGCGTAGGGGAAATACACGAAGCTACTTCTAAATCTGAATGGTATCACGTGAAATCAGAAGACAATCCAGCAGATATAATATCTCGTGGTTGCAATCCAGAGGATTTGAGAAAAAATCAATTGTGGTGGAACGGCCCACCCTGGATAAACTTAGAAGAAAATCAATGGCCGCTCGCTGAAGTTCCTAAACAGGACGAAGTTATTGAAGAAAGAAAGACATTTTTTACAAAAATCAATGACACCGAATTTTTTCTTTTTAAAAAATTTTCGTGTTTTTTAAAGTTATTGCGTGTTACCGCTTTTATATTGCGGTGGAAAATTAGAGTAATAAACAAGCAAAAACAGTTTGGTAACATTGATGTGGAAGAATTGAATAATTCAAAAACAACTCTAGTCAAAATGGTTCAAAATGTTTATTTTGGAGAGGAACTTAAAATCTTAAGACGAGGTGAAAATGTGAAGCCTAGCAGCCGTCTGTATATTTTAAGTCCACATTTAGATAACGATGGAGCGATCCGTGTAGGCGGCAGATTACTCAATTCTGTTTTTTCAAATGATAAAAAACATCCAATAGTGTTGCCCGAAAAATCCAACTTTACTCGTTTAATATTTCAATACGAACACAACCGTTTATTGCATGCTGGACCGCAGGCTCTATTAGCGTCGATAAGGGAAAAGTATTGGCCGCTTAATGGCAGAAATTTAGCAAGAAAAATAGTTCACAGTTGCGTAGTATGTTTTCGTCGGAAACCTGCTTTTCTTAGNAAAAAAAAAAAAAAAAAAGGGGGGGAGGATTAGGATGAATTTTTATAATTTAATTATATAATTATTTATTTATAAAAGATAATTGTGTAGTTTAAATTTGATGTTGACTAGATTAATTTGCTGTAATGTTAGTCATTTATTATTTATTATTTAATGAAAATTTTTATTATTTTGTTAATTTATTATAACTATTTAAAGTGTTTAATATTAATCTACTGGTTGTTTGTAATAATTTTTATATTTTTGTTTAAGTTGAATTTTATTGTATTGCATAAATTTTAGCAAAGCTCAAAATTGCCGGGCGGTATGTTCTGGCCGATATTAATGTATTTTTTTTTGTTGTTTGTTATCTTTGTGATTGCGCTGCTTGGCCCTATCGCCGTTAGCAGTAGTTAGTTCACTGCAATCCGTCGTTATGGTCAGTGCGATACTTAGTGTTTTATGTTTTATAGTATAGCGTTGTTATCTTAAAATATAATTATAATTAATAAACAAATACTATTATTAATAAAAAAAAACGTAAATTATACAGTCCATTCAAACCAAGAACATACATTGTCACACATTATAACAGCATTTTTAGAAACCTTCAAAGATATTTTTACATTAAAATTTGAATAATATAATTGTTGCGGCGTACGTTATTATATAGTTTTTTTCATTAGTATTATTGTAATAAGCTGACGATCGGTTTTACTAAGCGGAGAAAAACCAGTCTCCTAATAAAATTTCGTTTGTATTACTTTATAGTTAAGCGGCCTAAGTAGCCTTTNTATTACTTTATAGTTAAGCGGCCTAAGTAGCCTTTTTCTCGTAAAAAGAAAAATACAGTCCACATTCGTAACAATAATAATGTATGAAAATTATTCACATATTATCTTAATTGTATTAAACAACGATATTATATAACTAATATAGTTATTTGGATATTTAGTATCTTACTAAATTAAATTTATTTTTATTGATAACAAACGAAGTATTTTAGATTGAATTTTACTTTTTATTTTACATAAATACTGGCATAATTAAATAAATAGACACATCGACGTTTATAGGAGAAAAGAGCGTAAACGAAATTTTGGTCGATAATGAGTTACAAATATTTTGGCATAGACCACACAATTGTCTATCGATAGAGCCGATTATTTTATTGATATGATTTTTTTCATAAATAACTATCCATGATTGAATATTAAGCGTAAACGCCATTCATTATCAGGATTATAAAAACTTCGGCTCTCTTGTAAAATTACGTTGTAAAATGACATTTACAACTTTTTTTCATATAAGCGTCGATATTGTAACTTGCAATAACTAATTATGAAAAACAAAAATGGTCTATAATATATAATGATTTTTAGAACGTGAACAATAAACACTATATGAACGAATTATTTATTTTTATTTAAATAAAATATCAAATTTATAATAACCATTCTCTGTTTTTCAAAAATCAATAATTCAACAAATTTAATTCTTATATTAGAAAAAAATTAACATAATACTAAATTTATAAAAAAAATTAATAAAAAAGAGTAAAATTTAAACAAAACATAAATAAATATGAAAAAAAAATTATTTTATTATTCTTTAGATACGTTTTATTTATTTTCGATTTTGTTATTATTACTAAGTTATCCGTGCTAGCCATCGAGATAAAGAAAATAATTTTACCCTTAGCAGAAAATTAGAATGATAAAAATATAATTATTATCTAAATTTAAGACTAAAGTAAATAGGGAGCTAAATGCCATTTTCAAAGAAATTGAGTTTTTACCGGAAATAAAATCTATGTATGTTTGAAAAATTTTAATAATGGCACTCAATTAACTAAATAATCAATAACAGCATAGAAACAAAGCTTTCATGGGTTCTTGTATTATTAAAAATATTTACAAATATATACACATCTTCAGTTTTATTACAAAGCATAAATTCAATAGAAAAAGTTAATATGAAATCAAATCTCAACTTTAAAATAATATAAATTTTACAATAATGTAACTACAAGTTAGGTTTTCTTAAAATTAAAAAATTAACTTAGATTTAGACTAATTTCAATAAATTTTACCCTATTTGTCAAAATAACTCTTGTAATTATTGATATTTACACATTATTACTTTTAATTGTTATAGTTAGATGTTATTTATTAATTATATTTTTATAATATAAATCAATGAAATTAATATTTATGTAGAGTAGACATAGATCATACTAAATAATAATTTAATGTTAATTATATTCCCTCTAAATTCTACAATTGAATTAAAAATTGCTATAGAAATTCTGTTTGTCTTAGAAATATTAGACCAGCAGATCTTCATAACATAATAGAGTGAAATAAATTAATAAATAATACTTGGTACATGAACTCAATTTATACTTGAACCTTACTTGATCATTTCAAATTGATTGGTGAATGATTTTTTAACTATTTATAACCAGGATTAGGAACCGAAATCATTTTTTGAGTATGTTTATTCACTTATTTACGCCCTGTAGGCAATGTACAGTTAAATAGATTTATAACATAATTGTATATAAATGCAAAAACCAAATTAACAATTTTATTACTTACTCATAACTATTACAAAACGAAAAAACAAAAAAAATATATGATAGTAAAAATAATAATAATTCAAAATTTTAAGTCCTGTCGACAAATATCAATCTATTGATTTATCATAAACTTAATATTTCCTAAACCATGAAAAAAGAAATCAGTGTAACAATCTTTACAAGTTCTTAAAATTGGGTTTTGGTAGCGTTTCGAATTTTTTTTTATATTTATCGGTTTTAAATTTATTGGTATTTTCGTTTCGGTTAAAAACGAGATTTTAAAACAATTTTCAATTAATGAAAATGTTCCTTTGTTTTTTGTAAAATAGGATTCCTGAGCGAGTTATACAATTATAACACAGAATAGACAAATGAAATGCAATTAAACGACGTTTACATAACTAATAAATGGGGTAGCCCCTGGATACACCCAATGCTTGATTTGTCGGTGGACGCGAGGGGGAGCGGAGCTTCTCTTTTTTTTATTGTTTTTTTTAGCGTACCCTTTTTATTTTATTGAAATAAAATTGATAGGAACGCAATCATCAAACTGGTGAAACTATTAAATAAGTAAATCGTCAGTTCTTCTGGAGCAAATTAGTAATATGTAAATGCCAAAATATTAGTAGAACCTTAAACAAAAAAAACTAATTTTTTTTTAAATTCTCTATAATAAAATACGTGATTAGGGATTTCAGTTTTTACAACAATTAGTAACATGTATCCATTATAGTTCCGTAATAAAAACCGCGATCTACCGGCTAGATTTTAGCCAATTTATTTTATCTGTGGATAAAACTAATATTCTCTCACTATCAGCTATCTCAATGTTGCCCGTCGGGAGTTAATGTTGACTATCTAATTTATATCAGTTTTACAACGCTTATAACTTCAACTGGAGTTGGAAATGGATCTATAAATAACTATTAATAGGTCTATGAAGTTGACCACAATCAATATTTTCTATATTCTTAGTACCGTGAGTTTAAAGATTCCTCAAAAATTAACTATCGACATCCTCTTTTAATTGCTGTCAGAACAATAGCAATTTCTTCCTCAGAATGTTGGAGATCGTTTAGTGTAATGTACAGTATATTTACCTCAAAAAGAAATGCTTTGACTACTGGGCATATATCTTCATTAGTTTTTATTAATTGTAATGGACCTCCTGTCCCGCTACTTAAACCGGACAAATATGTTGAAAGTTGGATTACAAGCGGTAAAAGCAGTGCACATGAACCAAACTGTCCAAAAACATCTCCTCAAAACAAAAATAGTCCATATCAATATTTATTTAATGACTAATGTATGAAGTATAATTTAATTATTAACTAATAAATTTATATGTGAAAAAAATTAGTGTTTTTTCTATTATTATTTGTTTGTAAAATAAAATTATTATTTTTTTGATGTAGTTATGGCGGAGGTGGGGGGGTGAAGCCCCCCATGGTAATATTACAGTTAATTTTTGTAAGGAACGCTCGTTTATCCAATATCTGCCGAGTTCCCTTTCTAATTTTTTTCTAAATCAATCACTGGATACACCAGTAATTGTGATAACAGTCTTTTTTTTTTTATAATTTCGGCTGCCAAGCCATTAGTCACATACAGTTTACATTTACTGTTTAAATGTAACAAAAATTTTTTTTTTTAATTAATTTATAACGATCAGTTATATTGTAGTAGTACATGTTTAATTATTACGTAATTACTCTAAATTGAACAATTTATTATATTTTAGTGTAAGAAATAAAATGTATATGTATATATAAGTTTAAACATTTAATTTATAATAATGGTTGCACTCATACAACTTAAGAGTTATTTGAAACATTGAGTTCTTAGTTTTTTAGAAAATCTAATTTTTTCCCTTAAATACTTTAAATATTATGAACTAATCGATAATATTAATTATACGTTTAAAGTAATCAAAGAAAAAAAATGAAATTTTCGAAATCCATAATTTTCAAAAATTAGTATTAATTTTTAGTTTCGTGATTATTTGTCATGTAAATTCGAAAAAAATAAAATCTGTTTACTCAACACATTTTCATAATAAAAAAAAAAATTATACAGTTGATTATCAAGTTGCCAAAGTTCAAATGTTTTATTTGCATTACGACATCTGATATTAATAAATTATATTTTAACTAATAACTTCACTTAGTTATCATTTTATGAAACTTATTATAATATGAAATTTATTCTAAATACTGTACCAATAAATGAGCCTACGTAAAATGTTCTATGAGTTATTACAATATTACTTAAAGTTGCATTAATACAACTATATTCATTTAAGGGTTAAAAAATAAAACAAATAAATTTATGTTTTATTAATTATTTTAAATAATTATAGAATGTCAAATCATTTTTTTAAATTATACATTTTTTAACACAATATTAATGCGATTTAAAATATATATTATGATTCATGTATCATGACTAATCAGTAAATAAATTAATATTGAATTTATCGCTAATACATTGAAGCCAAATAACATTAAATGTTCTTTTTAATTTTGTAAAATCAAAGATTTATTTATGAAATTTTCGTATATACATGTTTTTGTCTTATCTATAAAATTAAACAATGACGAATTATAAATGTATATGTCTTATGTTAGTGAAATAATTATATAATTATAATATATAATTATATATAAATGTAACAATTCAAAATTAAAAATATGTTTTATTTTTACATATTATTTGGAAATATAGTTTTTATGTTATATAGGTTGATTTATTAAGAATAAGACAATCAATTTCTTGGAAACAATTGAAAATTTTAAATTTTTGTAGAGGAAAATATTGTTTGATTTAAAAAACTCTACATTAATATGTAGTTTAATCATTATTATTTCATTTCTTTACAGAGAAAAACTTAACTAATTTAATTTTTTCAATTTAATGAGTAATAAGAAGTCCTATTTTTAGTTTGTAACGAAACAAAGAGGCGCCTCTTCATTTTTCGTATATTTGAAAATTTATTTTGGTTGGGCCGAGTACGTGCTACGCGTAGCTAAGACGGCGTTTATCATCTAAATAATCACCAGATAAGGTGATGTGATTTGTTTGCAGGCGTACGAGATAGTGTGCTACTTCGGACCGGTTCATGGACAGCATTTGTGTATACACTGGCCCCGCTTCTTTCTTATGTTGAACCTCATTTGCGATGCTCACCAACTGCAATGTTACCTTATGTTACCTTATTAAACAGAATATTCTTGTCGGCTTCCGACACTGTTTAATAATTTCGTACAGCCCTACCTCCAAAGACTAGCCGAAGTGTCGCCATCGGACCGACGGGCCGAGCGTCCGGCATTTTATCGGAAATTAACCATGTTGTTGGTTTTCGTCTGTAACGGCAAATTTTAGTTGCGTGTGCTGCAACTTTTATTTTGTCTATTTATTATATATTTTTTTAACGAGTGTCTGCTACATTGTAGCTATGTAAATTGTTTAGTTTTTCGTGGCGTTGGTCTAACCAGTCTTCTGTTCTTAGCCCTTCGGTAATGAGTATATTTATAATGTTTTGGGCCAGCGTTGATTAAAATGCGCCGTGCCATAAGCGCCTATGGCAAATTGTATATATTTTTTTTAGGTCCTTTATTTATTATTTTTTTTTAGATATCTCACAATATGGCAATTGTGTTCATGTACATACATTTTTTGTACGTTTGTATTCATTTATCAATACAAATTTATGAATATAATGATAGCATGCTCAAACAAATTTTGTTTTTTCATAGTAATATTAAAAAATAGATTTTGATTAATGTGAATTTATCTCTAAGACCCAATAATATGTATTAAAAATAACACTTAATTTTGTAAAATATATATAAATTCAAATTCAAATTAACAAATCGGTATATTTTTAATTGTATTTATTTACTCGAAAATGCCACTAAAAACTAAATAAACTATGTTCAGAAAACAAAACTGTAACTGAGATTTATGAAAAAAAAATTGGTAGATGAAAAATATATCAATGATTAAAATTAAATTCACAAATAGTTCAATATTAAAAAAAAAATAAAAAGTACATAAGTACATATAGTAAAAAATGATTTAGTACGATATATTACTATTAAATTTATTAAAATTCACAAAATAAGAATGTAAGGAATAACACCTTAAACATATACGTGCGTAATTATTATAATAAAACATAAAATAAATACATGTGTGTTGATTTAAAAAAAAAAGATTTTTCTACCTTCCTCGTACATGTAAATTGTAAGACCATTAAGATAGTATTGTAAAAAAATCGTTTTCATGGCTTAAAATACAGATGACGTGGCCTGATGTCTTAAGCGATTAAAAAAATAAAAGCTCACAGAACGTTAAAAAATTTTTTTATATCATAACTCAGATGTGTCTGAGCGGATTTGATGAAAATTTCAGACCTCAAGTCGCAAAATGTCGACGTCAGCGAGCGTTTTTATCGAAAGTGGCCAACATTTCTGACACATGCAATAATTTTTGCAAAATCACGTGACCAAGTGGTTTAATTGAAAAAAAAATTACAAATTAGAGCATATTAAGTAATTTTACCAGGAAAGCGTTATTCTTACTTGTTCTATTATATAATAAAATACTTAAATATTCAACACAAGTTTTCTATCGTATATTGTTAAATGACCGATATGGAAAATTTTTCTTGATAATTACTATATAAAACATTTATGGTTCATATTATATTGAATTATTATGCATTCTGTGTAATGAAAACTAAATTAATGATAAGTTTTTATTTTAATTCCAATTAAGCAATTTTAAAACACTAATGATTGATCGGATAAAAGAAGTTATAAGAATACAATTTTTTAATATTTTTTTTTCTATTAAACTAAAAAAAAGGGTTTAAATATTAATGAAATTTTAATTTTGAATTTCTTATTCCTGAATGGATGATAAAAAATTATAATTATATTTACTATTACAGAGTTTTTTGAATAAAACAATGATTTCCTTAAAAAAATTTTCAATGTTTTCCAAAAAAATTGTTATTTTTTTATCTTAACTAATGGCCTTGTATATAGTATAATTCTTTTAACGTTAAAAAGAATAAAATTTCTTTCATCATTTTTATTCTTATATATATTTTAATTTATCACTTATTAGTTACTTTTAAATATTAAATTAAATTAATTATTCACCCCTCATACTTGATAAGGATATTAACTTTTATTATTAAACGGAAACATACATAATTAAGTTATTTATTAGATAATAATCTAATTCAAAAAATTACTGATTGATAACAACTTTTAGACCAATATTTCAGAAGTTACTTATTAAAACTTTTATACCTAGGCAGCAGGTTAGGTGAGATCGAAAAATGTTTTATGATAAAAGTAGCTGCATTCAGCTCCAGTCTATATTTTAAAATGGTAATAACTTCTAAAATAATGGGTCAACGTTGTAATAGGCCATTTAATTAGATTTTATTTTATAAACTAGTTCAATATGTATTTTTTAATTAAAAAAACTACACTTATTAAGTATATAGGAAGTAATAAAATCGTATTAATAACTGATAAATTAAGAAATATATAACATAAATAATTATATTTTTAAGAAAAATCAAATGTCTATCGTTAAAAGAAACACCTTCTTAAATGATGATACAAGGAGTACCTTGAATTTGTGCTTTAGCAGTCCTTTAAAAATTACTTATATTGAGAAGAGTGTTATTTAATAGAATACTGTTTAAATAATGCTCAATAGTGAAGAGTTAGTATTAATTTTTAATTGTAATTAATTGAGTATACTGGAATATACGACACAACCAAGTTTGTACTATTGGAAAGTTATATAGTTCCTAATTTCATAGTACTGTTTAATAGCGTCCAAACAATTGACAAAATAAAAGTCTACTCTTAACACGAGTAACAAAAGAAGATTTTTCTTAAAGTTATTAGATATTTTTACTTCTTGTGAAGTAACTAAATTTTTTCATTACATCTGATGCTATTAGAAAAATATTGAACTGTTTTTAGTACTCTTTCCAATTTTGTGTTGTTTTTGCTAATGTATAATTATATGGCTTACGATAGTCCATCATGAAAATTTTTATCTATTTTAATCATAGCTTTAGTATTTTGTTATGAGCCCGATATTTATTTGTTGTTATTTAAAAAACAAAAGTTTAAGATATCTGTTGAAGTGGTAAGAAGAGAACTAATTTTTTTTTCTTTAATTAGTAATAGGTAAAGTTTAATAAATCTTTAAAATGAAAAAACAGTA